TAAAAATTAAAAATTAAATTCTTCAATCAATTCGTATCTGTAGCTCCAAGCATATTTTGCATACCGAATCAAGCACCGAGAATTTGAGCCTCTCAAGAACCGCACTATCTCACTTCTTGGGAGAGTAAAACAACCAAGGTGTAAGAACGGAATCTCGCCCAAAATCGAGCACTCCGCCAAAATGTGAAACACAATCTCGACGGAACGAGAATTGCACAGGGAGCATATATCCAAGTTACCCCTATTGAATTTACATGTAAAACCTCACTTCTCAGCTTAAATGCCCATCTCAGTTCACGCAAGGAAAGACCGTCAAAATTAGGCTTCTGGAAATCAAACATGGGTGAAACTTCTTATTCCTTGTAGAGAGACAGGTGTGTAGATATTTTAACCCGTATTAAGCAATCTTCCCGATGCTGAGAGGCAATCTTGGAGAGGAAAGCCATATATAGGTTAAAATAGCTGACAGAGAAGGACCTCTTCAATTCAAGATCCTTACTCAAAAAAATGCAAACGTTCACAGAATATGGGAATCTTTTGACAATTTAGTCACAACAAAAAATATGTTTTATTCTATTGGATCCCAAGTAGGCCATAAAAGGCAATGAACTGGCAGGCATTGCAGCAAAATCTACACATCTATCAGTAACCCCAGATTTAATACAATCCCAAGATATCCTCTGTGCTTTTAAAAGATTGTCAGTAGCAAATTGGGATAGACAATGGGAAAACTAAGAGCTATAAAAAGCACAGTCAAACCGTGGAAAACATCAAGCCAAAACAAACGAAGGGATGATGTGATCTGGAGATTACGAATAGGACACACTCACATAACACATGGCTATTTAAAGGACCGCAGTACGCCTCCTTGTTGTCAATATGGTGTATTAAGTGTCAAGCACACGTTGTCCCCGCCAAATACATGCCCAACCCACTCCCAAGCTTTCCTCCCTCGTTTTTTACCAAATAACCTAGGAGATGACCAAGATAACATGGATAAAGTTATAGAAAATTTAAAACAAAGAAATTTATATACGAAAATTAAAAAAAAAATGTGTCTGAGTGTCTGGGTTGTGGCAGTGCAGGCAAATCCACGCTCTCCGAACCATGTTTAGAAAAACACGGAATTAAAGTTCAAAACCTGGGTCGCTCTTTTTCCGGGTGCTGCTTCGTTGGGGTGCTGCCTCCACTCACCCCACAAAACTAATCATGAAATAGCAAGTAAACAAACAAAGTGTGCAAGAGAAAGAAATGTAATAATGAATTAATTTAATAAGGGGAAGGAAGAAGAAAAATTAATGAATTTTAAATAAATAAAATATGCAAGTAAATAAAAGGCGATGATATACTAACAGTTGATCACTTTAAAAAAAATTAAAAAATCTAAAATCTTTATTTATTGTTTGACTCTCTGCCTTCTTGATCTGTTTTCAATCTCTGCCTTATTGATCTATGGTAATTTCATTCTGTAACTTTTAAATGGAATGGCAATTTATTAACCCCATATATCACACAAATAAACTGTAAAATTCCAACCATGCTTGAACTAGACCGAAAAAGCAAAATAGGGAAGAAGTTGGAACACTTTTGAGCTGTTTCATCCGGCCCGATGAACCGCCTAATCTCCCTCTGTTTTAGACAAAGCCCACAGAACTGAAGATATTGAAACGCGATTGACCCAAAAATACAGCGATTTTAGGTTTATGCAGGAGCAAAGACTGATAGCAAATGTTTGACAATTCTGCAGAGCAACCAAGTCTTCACAGTTAAAATTCACCTAAATTCATTTCGTTTTTTTTTAAAGATTAGTTGTAGTTAAACGGAATCGACCTCAAAAATTTGAGCTTTTCATGTTGATCCCGGAAACCACCGCTTGTTTCGGCGAACGGAGAATTATCTCCAATCGTTGGCCTATTTCTACTTTTGCAAAAACTCATCACCGCGAATCCCCTCTTCCCATGGACTTCATTTCGGCATCCTTTCCATTACTTGTATAATGGCAAGCATACACCCAAAAGCTTTAATTGGATTCGGCCGCAGAGTTTGCCTTTAACGGTGCCGGTGCAAAACTTACAAAACGTGGGCCATCATTCGTTTTCACCCTTTCTTTTTTGTCTGAGTACGCAGGGAATGGTTTTCCTAACGAGGCTCGATTAACGATCGAATTTTTATCTGCAGTGCATACCATATGATCAAATATGATAAAAAACCAGTGATCTATGCGGTAAAAAAAACTTTCTAACCGTCATACGTTAAATTAAACGTGAACAAGACATTTTCCGAAACTTGTAGATCGTGTTTCATCTATTGTTCTTCCCCGTTTCAATGACGTCCCATGATAAAGTACGTAATGTGAAAAACGTGATAGAAAAATCCCTTCATTAGGAGGCCAATCAAATACGGAGATTATCTTGGAAATGTTAGACAAAAAAGCATAATCCAACATCTTTCCATTAATTAACTATTAACTATTAAAATACAAAAACAACCACGGTTAATTTTGTCGTGAAAGTTCGAAAAATTATTAAAACTCATTAAACTTATTTAAACAATAAAAATTAGCAAAGACGTACAAACGGAAGTCATGAGTTCTTACTGCAAACGTTGAAAAAATACATTCAAAACGGTAAGGACATAAATTCGTACATATTTTATTAAAGGTTGTCTGCGTTTCTTGTGCATTTATGTCAATGTTATTCCATATCGGTAGGCTATTTTTTACCTGGGATAAGAAAATAACATGCAGGGCAAATATTAAATGAAACTACCAACATAAAATGTTACAAAAACGAAAATCCGTTACGAGTAAAGTAGGCGAAAAAACATTTCTACTGGGAAAAAAATTCTGATTCGGTTTAAGTCCTTAGATACAAAATTCTATACTGAAGAAAAAATAATTTTTGGGCTCGATCGTTATGGGGTATTTTTTTCTTCTCCGATGCCCTGCAGAGTTGGGCGTAATCAGTTAATTTTTTAAATCACAATTAACGATTAATTAATTGTCAAACTATTCACGATTAAAAAGTTAATCGAAAATTCGATTAATGATTAATCCGATTAATCATCATTCGAACGTGCGATTAATGATTAAATTAATCGTTAATCAGATTAAACTATTAATTAATGGAATAATTAAATTGTCATTCAACGCAATTATTTACATAACGACGCCGCACCGCGCTTTTACTCATATAATTTTTGACAACAAAAAAGTACAACATTCGCCACGTAAAGGCTAGATACATTATTCAGATATCGTGAGATGCGGTCTGGTGTGATGTAGGTTTTAGAAAAACATTTTCTTTCTCGTGCCAACGTTTCGATCTTTATTGAGATCATCTTCAGGGCCTGGGATTTACATTGTTTAAATTTAACAAATACATGTGGAATGTGGAAAAAAGTGAATTTATACAATGCAAAAAAATATTTTTTTTATATTCAATCAAAGTATCAATAATATAATAAATAATAATATAACAATATAATCAAAGTACGCAGAAAACAAACACTTTGAGTGAGTCGAAATGAGTTAAATTTAAACAAAGTTTGTAAATCAATCCTACTATGTGATTTATTTGTTAAATTTAATCAATCATCAATCCTGTTAAATTTGGACAAAGGTCAGAGGAGTAACGAATTTTTGTACCCAACAGGACATCGAAGGAGAAAAAATGCCCCGGCTGATATATCCCAAAATTATCATATTTTTTGTTTGCTATAGAAAGCTTTCAAGGGTGCTTAAAAGGAATCAGAATTTTTTCTCGATATAATCCTTTCTGGCCTGCTTCATGCTGTCTAATCTTATTTAATATGATCCTGCATGTTATTTTTTTATCCTAGGTTAAAAAAAATTAAACAAATCTAACGATAAAAAAATACAAGCTTGAAATACAAGCATAACAAAGGCAGAAAACCAAATTTAATAAAAATTTGGCCAAGTGGCGGGTTTTTGAACAAGTATCCCCGCAGAAGTTCCATTAAAATCTGTGGTCCCACATCCGTAGCCCTACCAGTTTTTTTGTTGATATAATGATCAGCTATAATTCTGATATTCTTTTCCTTTATATAATTATTCAGATATCGTGAGATGCGGTCGGGTGTGATGTAGGTTTCAGAAAAACATTTTCTTTATCGTGCCAACGTTTCGATCTTTTATTGAGATCATCTTCAGAGCCTGGGATTTACAAACAATGTTTACATTTAACAAATATATTTAGGATGTGGAAAAGTGAATTTATACAATGCAAAATATATTTTATATTCAAACAAAGTATTTCTACTCACTCAAAGTGTTTGTCTTCTGTGTAATTGTGCCATTCTTGCGTGTCGTGTGGAGAGTGCCAGGGAGATTTTGCTGTTTTATGTTTTTATATGTTTGGTTTTGAAGGGGTGGAGTGTATTTGTTAAATGTAAACATTGTTTGTAAATCCCAGGCCCTGAAGATGATCTCAATAAAGATCGAAACGTTGGCACGATAAAGAAAATGTTTTTCTGAAACCTACATCTCACCAGACCGCATCTCACGATATCTGAATAACTATCGATTAACGGTCACTGATCTCTACACACTTTTATATAATTTTTTATTTATGTCAGGTCTTGGTTGGGATGAAAAATTTAGTGTCACGAGCGGGATTCGAACCCACGACCTTCGGCTCAATACGCCGCTGCTCAACCACTTAAGCTTTCGTGACTTCGATCCTCTCGGACACCAACACCTCATCTCAACCTACAACCTTTCGAATTTTCACTTTTTTGCCATTTTTCAATTCAATAATTAATTAAAATGGTCAACTATGACAACTAAACATAAATGGATTAATAAAGTCTGATAGTTCATGAAGTAAAAGCACGAATGCTCTACGAATGGGTGTCTTCTTTCTAATCGGCCTCATCCTTAAACGTTTTTATTATGTAATTATGCACTGAAATCTGATCCTATTATTCTGGCATTCGCTTTACATCATTTTGTAACCTGATTTATGTTTATATTTTTACAGAACCCGATAACCACGATTCAGGGGTTTTCGGCGAGAAAGTACTCGATGAAGGCTGCGATGCCCCTTGGTCTGCTGAAATATTTCGATCTTCCGAGATGCCTTTTAAGAATCCCGTCGTGATCCCGTCGCCTTCGAGAGAGGACTGCATCCGCCTCTGCGTTTCCAACACCCACATCCATTGCAGGTTGGTCAAAGAAGTGACACATCTTAAAATTAACAGTTTAGCTAGAATACCGACGTTTCTTGTTCAAACGTTCCAACAAGCAAAGAATCCAGTCCGAAATACTTCGATCCCTTGCCTAAGCTCCGTACTTCCTATCCAACTTACCGAAACAGACCTTAAGATGCCATGTGTCCTCGAAACCGATAAAAGACGACACAGACGCTTTCATAAAACCATGGACCCTCGACCCAACATTTCAGTACCCCTCGTATATGAAGAAAGGTAATTACATCCTTCAGCCAACAAAGACCCCAGTGACTTTCAAAAATGAATCAATACACTTCATTACTCCTCACATACGCTAGAATACTTAAAAGACATCTAGAAGAATCATGTTAATAAGATTTGCGAAATGTTTTTCACTCCGGTCATGCCTGGGCTGTTTGAGGTCATCGAGGTCCTATTACACCAGAAGAAAAAAAAAAACACGAGCTTGTTATTAATTTGTAGGTTCTAATTAATTCGCTAAACCGCACAACCTCCGTTAAGTATCAGGCCCCACATTTTTCTTTTCCAATTATAAAAAAAAAATCGAAGGGCCGCTATATCTGCATAACGAAATCGTACTTAATCCAATCGAAATCAGAATAAAGACCTATAAATTAGATACAGACCATGACAATCTGTTACCTGCGGTTTCTTTGCGGCTTGGACACGGGTCGTACATGCGTAGATCCGGCAGGAATTATGGAATTGTAATTTTTAGTTCAATCGCGATTTTTTTTGGTCATCGGTAATTACCTTACTTATCCTTATAGTGAACAATAATAGTCAGGTCGTTGCCGATCATCCCGGTCTGGCTATCCTTGCTGTTTTGCCCTATCGGATGCGTCTTGCGAAGTTGCGAGTTCCAAAGTTACCGTCTAAAGTTTAAGAAAGATTTTCTTGGCTCTTTAAGTACTGACAGATACTTAATTTCTCAAAGGCCAGTTATCACCAATGTAAACGTAAAATTTAATTTCCAAAAATTTGATTTTTTGTTTCAGTTACAAACCTTTTAAAAAATTAGTCATTAACATTTTAAAACTTCTGTTAAATTATAGTGTAAGTAATATCAAAAATAAACAAAAGAACTCTTTGGTACAAACTTGAAGCAAGCTAATATCAAAAAATTAAATGGAATGTCCATCTTCTTGAAGAATGCAAGGCTGACATCGTTCCTGACAGATTTTGGACATTTAATTTAACTTTTTGAAGATTTGCAGTTTGCTCCAATTTCGTAACAAAGAGACTCTACTGCACTTAAACTTTAATTATAAATGGTGATAATTGGCCTTTGAGAAATTTGATGAAAGTTCATTAGTAGAGGCAACTTTTCTGTAAACGCCTGCTAATTTTTATTTTGTCAGTGTTCATAGCGCCAAGCAAATCTTACTTAAACTTAATCAAGAACTTTGGAAACTCGTAAATGTCCAATTTCTTACTGACTTTTTATTTATTCATTTATTTGTTAATTTAATTTTTTTTTGGCTAACAAAAGAACACAAATAAACCTCATGGTTTTCAATGCTATTTCTTTGGTGTAATCAAATTTATAGAAGGATTAACACTGTATCACGAATAGGAACTATTTTTTTTCAAAAATTTATTTATTGGAGAAAAGCCTAACCTAGCCCTAACCCAAAACTACCTACCCTCACCTAACTTAACCCTAACCCACTCATGAAAAATCACAGGTAACGTGACATCGATGATGTAAAATTTTGTTTTCCAAATTAATGATGACTAATTTTTTTTGCACCGACAAATCGAAATTTTAACAATTGAATGTTAATTTTGAATTGGTGATAATGATATGTATGAAGCTGTCATTATTTACAGAAATAAGAAAATCTATCGTAAACTTTAGGCAAGAACTTTGGAAACTCGTAAACGTTCATTTTCTTACTGATTTTTTATTTTATTTTTTTAATTTTTATTTTTGCTAACAAAAGAACACAAATTAATCTCATGTGGTTTTCAATGCTCTTTCCTTTGATGCAATGAAATTTATAGAAAGAGTAAAATTTTATCACGAATATGAAATATTTTTTTCCACAATTTAATTATTGGAGAATAAAACCCTACCTAGCATAATCTAGCCCTAACCCAACACTACCTACCCTCACCTAACCTAAACCTAACCCAACCCCATGAAAAATCACCGGTAACGTGAAACCGATGATGCAAAATTTTGTTTTCCAAATTAATGTTGACTGAATGACTAATTTTTTTAAACAGATCACAACCGACATATCAAAATTTTAGCAATTGAACATTAATTTTGCATTGGTGATAACGATATGTATTAAGCTGTCATTATTTACAGAAACAAGAAAATCTTTCATAAACTTTAGGCAAGAAATTTGGCAAATCGTAAACTTTCATTTTCTTACTATTTTTTTATTTTATTTTTAGCTAACAAAAGAACACAAATAAATCTCATATGGCGTTCAATGCCCTTTCTTTGACGTAATAAATTTTATAGATGGATTAACATTTTATCACGAATTGTAACTATTTTTTTCTAAAATTTAATTATTGGAGAATAAAACCCTACCTAGCATAACCTAGCCCTAACCCAACACTACCTACCCTCATCTTACCTTACCCTAACCCAACCCCATGAGAAATGAAAAAAAGAAGATCGTTAATTTTTGCATTAGTGATAATTATATGTACTAAGCGGTCATTTATTTACAAAAACAATAAAATCATTCATAAACGTTAGGCAAGAACTTTGGAAACTCGTACTTTCTTACTGACTTTTATTTTCCTTGATGTTATAAAAAACGCAAATAAATCTTATAGGGTTTTTGATGCTATATCCATTGATGTAATCAAATTTACAGTAGGATTAACTTTTTGTAATGAACAAGAACTGTGAGCAAGAGGTGAAACCGAGAGCTTATTAAAGAAAAAGTTTGAAGAAATGCTAAACTTAGGGTTCAAATTCAGACTAAGCTTAAAGACAATGCATAGAAAATTTGGTGGATTTTTTAAGGACTTAATCCACCAAAGAAACCGATCATGATAACGTCAAAACACACATCTCAATTAATACTTTTTAAAAGGATAGTTCCTACTCACAGTAAGTTGTTTTTGCAACGATCCGGATTTCGAGCCTTTTAGGTCATCATCAGGTTGTAGAAGTCCTTCAACCTGATGATGAGCTAAAAGGCTCGAAATCCGGATCGTTGCAAAAACAACTTACTGTGAGTAGGAACTATCCTTTTAAAAAGTATTGAACACCACACTCACGCCATCATTTATCATTTCCACATCTCAATTATCCTGGAGAAAACCGTAAATTATGAATCCCAATCTAATATCATGATTATTTTTTATCCTAATCTGTTATTTTGAAAACATGCACATTGTGTTTATTACTGGCTAAGCACGTAGGAATAATAACAAAGTTACATATCCTTTTTTATGGGAAACTTACGAGGAAAAAATCAATATAGATGGAGAGGAAAGTGATGACTTTTGTTAATTATTTAAAAAGGAGTGAGAAAATCAAGTGCGACGATCAATAATTGACGTGAAATTTTGATTACTTCTCATTATTAAGTATAGAGCTCCTTGCAAATGAACAGTTGCGGCACGTATAAGGACTAACGGATTGAACCATTTCTTTTTATGAATAAAACATAATGGGAGGTCGGACAATGAGAATGAGTCAACCAGATATATTCAAACACCTATTCAAAATGCAGGAATTACAATAACAATCCAAACTTTCTCAAAGCGTAACGTTACAGTTACACCTTGTTTTAGACAGAGCACGTCAGGTTTGAATCATCCGTGATGAAACTATAATAGACTGTAGAAGTACAAAAACAAAATGGCCGTTTTTCAAGTAATTTTTTTTTAAATTGAAGATTAAATTAAAATTGTAATTTTAAAGATGTAATTAGGAATGTCTTCGATCCATTTCTTGGGTCGTTGAAAAATTCTTGTACTGTAATTTCGACGTCTGTGTACATTTTTCCCTCTAGTAGTCTTTTTCAAATATGTAATGCCTTTTCAGTATGTTGGGCTCGAATGCAGGGTCGCTGGATTCGAACCCGGGACCATTACCTAACAGTGATTAGCGCCGTGTCAACGCCTAAAACGTTGCGGCCACCGACTCCCCTCCCCCTGGTAGTACGTCACGGATCGAAACAATTAATAACCTGATGGTGCGAGGTCTGGACTATACAGGGTCTTTTTAGATGGGCCGGCTGAATTTCTCTTTAATCAATGACGCTATAAAAAATACTTTTTTTTTAAGAAAAATTATACATGGCACGTCAGGCCCAGCTGAACTTCAAAATTTCAATTTCAAATACGATCCTATATATTCTGACATACCATTTTCAAGGATTTATTACTCTGAAGACAATGGTGCCATCGGATTTTAAATTGGTCAAAAAATGGCACAATTATGGCAAAAAGAAACCGGCTACTTCGACGAAAAGTTGGACGTTTTACTGTATCGAAAATCCGAATTCCACTCTCCGAAATGTTGGAAGGGTTTGAGATTTTTCAAAAAATAAAATTAAAGATGTACACCGGACTTACAATTTTAAGCCGTATCGCTCTCATCTTGTCCAGGGACTTCGGAACTCTGATTATGACAGGCCGATGCACCAATGTCCATTTGGGAGACTGAAGAAAAGGCCTCTTTCATTTATCAAAAAATGACAAAGTTATTCAACAATTTTGAAAAAAATACAGTCATTTGTTTTGCTATTTATTAATCACATTTCAAGTTCGAACTGCCTGCCTCGCGTAAAGACGCAAATATTTGCTCTTTTTAACCACTCTTCGCCGATGCTCGGAGCGATAGAATCATGGGAGATGGACAGTCACGACTCGAGTAGCCCGTATTGCCAAGTTGTTTAGGGTTTGAATAGAAAATCAATCGGTTTTAGCCTGTCGACAAAGTGCGCATCATAGTGTCCTCACCCTGTATACAATGTCTAGTCAGATGGAAA